ATATTTTAATTGCAAATATTTTACCAATTGCTTCTTTAAAAACATTAGGGAACTTGCTATACTCTACCAATCAAGCCCAGTGACACTCCATTTATTTTCCATCACTCGAACACTGAAAAGTAAAAAGATATATGAAATCAGATCCATTAAATTCTAAGATTTGATTTACATTTCTAATTAAAATTGTTTTTGATCATACATATAGATAATTATATAAAAATTCCAGAATTCTAAAATTTCAAATACATACAAAAACAATCATATGTAAATTTTAAATTTGTGAATATTAAAATTTTATATTTTAATTACATATATTCACCCTGCGCAAGGCGCATGTCTTATCCTAGTAAAGTTATGATTATGGACAAATTATACGTCAACTAAACCAAATATGGATAACAAATCTCTCAAAATCTTTCGAGGATTTTTATTCAGAAAAAGAAAACAATAAAATGTGGAATAAAGAAAAACAAAGCAATATGCTCTCTTACAAACAAAGATACTAAACATAAAATCTCTCAAAACCACTAGACCCATACAACAGAAAGAGAACAAATAAAAAAAGAAGTCATCATCACATCACACAGTTCATGTAAACCCCAAAACTCAGAGACTGAAAATGACATAATAACCAAATTTTTATATACAAACCTGCCTTGGATCATCATCATGTCTCCTTTAGGACTATAACAGTTGGTGGACAATCTGTTCTCTGACCAGCCAAAGAGTAGTAAGCCAATATATGAGCCGGATGCTCCATCTCTCTTACCTCTCCAAGCTGATTCACTTCAGGGACTCTTCTAGAAGGTATCAGCTCTATGTTCCAGTACGGTCTAGACATTAACCTCAAATCTTGTCCCCTCATCGATGCTCTATACCCTTGTACCCACAAGTATCTCAATGAAGGCAACCGCATAACCGCTGCAGCGATAGCTCGTTCACTGAAACAACACCCTCTCATCTCTAGCTTCTGTAAACTCGGACAACCTCTTGAGAACTCCATTAGCCCTTCGTCTGTTTCACCAACGTAACCAAGAAGCATCCACCTCACGTTTGGACTGTACTGTCCTATATAGCTTAACCCCACGTCTGTTAACCCGCCTTGTCTGAGATAGAACGCAAACCGTCTGAGCTTCTTGCATCCTATCAAGAGGGAACGTACTCCGTTGTCAAGTGGCAGGTCTGTGATTCTCTCTTCTCGGTCGAGTAAGACAAGGCGGAAGTCACAGAGGTTTTTCAGATGTGTTCCTATGCTTTCGAGAGACTCGTTGGTTATGTCTGAGACGTATACAGCCATGTATTCTAGCTCCTGGCAGCCTTGAGCTAATGCTATTAGTCCTCTTTGTGAGACTAAGCCTTCTTCGTCCTCCATTCCTTGTTCATCTGCTCCTCGTTCAATCCTCAGCCGCTTCAACTTTTTACAGTACTGTGCAAGAACCTCTAGTCCCCTGTCTCCTATTACATTCCTTGTCTGAAACACAACAACTATCTGTCAGAGACTGCACTCATATCCCTTTACCACCACATTATATACGCTTATAAAACCAATGCTTCATGATAGCTGAGATTAGTGTGAGTACATATATGTAAATAACAATGTTCAATAAATTATTTTGATGAATTGTAAAAGTATTTTGATGAATTGTAAAAATTAGATATACCAAAAAAAGGAATGGAAAATTTTGTGGATTTGAACTAATAGTAATTCTTGATTTTAAGAGATTTATACCTATTTAGAACGGTTTAAACCAATTTGAGTAGAACCAATCATATGCGGCTTAGACCAATTTTTAGAACATTGGTAAATAGAATAGATATTGCATTCAAGTTTACCTCAAGAACTTCCAAATTAGGACACTTTTGAATGAGTGTACAATGATCATCAGTCTCCAGCAACGCATAAAGCAGATCAAGCTTCCGGATTTGAGCAGCGAACGGAAACAGTATAGGCATTTCATTAGGTCCCATGTAAGAGAGACCCAAACGGCATAGTTTGGGTGGGAAAGTCAGGTTCATGTACTTCTCAGGTCTTCCAATATCCTCATTCAAGGAGCCACCACAGAACTCCTCAAGGTTAGTTGCAGCTTTAAAGAAGCCAACAAGTTCCAAAATCTCAAAGTCGCCCATCTTGACAGAGACCAGTGAGCTGCGGCAGTTTCTAGCTATGGTTTCCAAGTCTTTGGCGCTGATTTTGATGAACTCAGTCATGTAGAAGTTTAGAACCTCTAGAGATGTGTTGTGGAGAGCAAGCTCATGTAGCCATTGACCATCTTTTTCAACAAAAGAACTCTCTTCCATTAACAATGTTTTTATTTTCCTGTCACAGAAGCAACACAATATTAATTGAATTTCAGTTTAAAAATTACAAAATGCATAACAACAACAACAACCAACTCAGAAAACATGAACTCCCAAAGACAAATATTTTTGCTAATTATCCATAAAGATAAATAGCAACCTAAATATAACATGAAACCAAACATAAAGAGACAAAAACATGTAGCAGATGAAATGAAATAGTTCAGCTATTTATGCATAGTCACAAATGTATAAAGTGTTAGTAAGCAAAACCAAATGAAGTAAAGGTCCAACAACATATCACCAAAGAGAGTAAAAAAAAGTAGGCACCAAAGAGTTTTCCACTTACCCAATTAAGCCTAAAAACACATCTCAGACTTTCAAAGACATAAACTTTTTCTTAAGATACAATTCTTCAGACAAGGATATATAACAACAGTAGACAAAACAGAGTTACAAGCAAAAAGTAAGTAATAAAGATTTTTCAACTTACTCAACTGAGCTAAAGACACAAACTTTATAAACATACGGTTCTTCTTCGGACAAAGTATATATGTAATAACAGTAGACAAAAATAGAGTTGCAAAAGTAGGCACCAAAGAGTTTTCTACTTACCCAATTGAGCTAAAAAGACACATGAGATATTCAAAGACACAAACTTTATAAACATACAGTTCTTCTTCGGACAAGGATATGTAATAACTGAGCTAAAGACACAAACTTTATTAACACACGGTTCTTCTTCGGACAAGGGTATATGTAATAAAGAGACGTACCTGCAGTGTTTAACGATGCTCAAAAGCCCATCAGTAGAGAACCCAGAACACTTATCCAACTTCAAAGCCTCAAGCTCATCTAACCTCGCCTTAGCCAAAACATCCAGATCCAAATCACTAACAATCATCCTCCTGAAATGAACCGACTTAAGCCTCCTGAGCGAGACAGCGATCTCGTTGACCCAAGGAGTCACAAACCCACCCCAGTTCTCAGGGATGAGGTTGAACATCGCGGCACGTGGCTTCCCTTTGAGCTTGAGAGACCTCAGATTCGGGAAACGGCGGCTGAGACGATCTGGAGTTGAGGTGTAGCATAAGGCCATGGTGACGTGTTCTCTGGTCTCTGAGTCGATTTTGAACCATCTGCGGCAGACTAAGGAGGCTGAGTCTCGGTCTTTGGAGTCTGTTATGTATGGCATGACTTGCTCGATGACGTCATCTACGGTTACGGGGATTAGACATGGAGTTAATCTGCACTTCTTCTTGATGTCGGGATCCTCCATAGATTCGATTAGTATCTTCAAAACTCGAGAGAGAAGCTCTCACAGAAGAAGAGATTGGAGGAAGAGTAGGAGATGAAGGAGGAAGATAGAAGGAGGAGAGTGAGGAGAGGAGGACACGCGTCGAGAGGAGAGTAGACGAGGAAGAAGGAGGAGAAAGAAAGTTTGATGGGAGATGCGATCAAGTGGGCGACAGAATATTTATTGTTTCCTTTCTCTTTTTTTTTTTTATTACAACAACACACTTTCTTGTGTTCGAGTGTTAAGTTATTTTAGACGGTGGAGATGGGATCTTCTATCTCAAGTTAAGTTATTTAGACGGTGGAGATGCGATCTTGTCTTCTCTCAAATGTTTTTTTAATGTCCAGATGAGATCTGCTAAACGACAATATATAATGCGAGAATATATTAACCAGGTCTTGCTGTATGATTTATCCAATGGACGATTAGTTTAGTAGTATCAATTAGCTGTATTATTCTCGGCGCTTAATCAAAACACCCTTTTCTCTCTCTTTTTTCTTAACTAGAGCATTTTTCTATAGTAATAAATTTGAAGAGACTTTGCTATCAGATGTTATCCACGAATCTGGATTAGATCTTTCCAACGTCAATAACTGTTTACAATTTTTCTTAGAGAAAACAGTAGCTTTTTTAAGAATTTAATATGAGAAAATAAGTACTATGACGCTATCATCTATTAATGTATACGACTGTTTTGTCTTCATCATTGGTAGACGTACACATGTGCCATTCTTACACTTGTCATAAAACGTATACTTTTTTCAATTATACTCATGTACCTCAACAAAATTTACCAGTAGTAATATTGCACTTTGTAAGTTGACAATAAGTGTGTTCATATGTCAAAACAACTTTCAATTATTACCCGAAGGTCTTAGCCTCCTTTAAGTTTCAAAACATAACGAAGATGATAACCAAGCTACACAGAAAAAAAAAACAGACTAATTACACCTTATAACAAAAGAGTTGGCTGAACATAAACCAAAAGAACTAAGCGAGAGACGAGCTTCACAAGCCTCTCCCCTTTCTATACACTTTTTCGATTTCCATTTTGGAGAAAGAAAAAAACACTTACAAAGAACCTCAAAAAAAACACTAACCAGAAGACTCTTTGGGAGGCACTGCTTCGCCTGAGCTCCCACTATCCCCAGAACCTTCTCCCTCGTCACCTGCACTCGGTTGTTTCAGCCCAATGGGTGCAAACAAGCTCACTCCACTCACGTCCCTTGTTCCACTGTATAGACCTCTGCTTCCGTGGTGGTGGTGGTGGTTCAAAGGAGCAGAGGTTGTTGCATTGGCTCCGCTTATGAGCAATCTCAGTGTTTCTCTTGCTCCTTTCTCCACCAGCGACTCATTCTCCACCGAGAGCGGTGGGATTCCAGTGGGTATCATCCCGGTAGGTCCAGCGCTTACCAGATAAGCTTGACCTGACGAGCATATATCCATTACTGGAATATGAACGATAGGGTCGCACATTATAGGAATCATCATCTGCTGCTGGGAAGATGACGATGATGATGATGCGCCAGGTATGGGTATGTGGTGGACCAAAGGCAATGGAGGGATGTCGGAGAGATCGAGTGGTGATGATGGAATCAAGAACCCATCTGACCCTGATGATGGTAGTAAGGAGGAAAGAGGTGGAAGCAAAGGTAGCTCGATGGATAGTGGAGGGAACTGATAAGAAGCAGATGGTGCGTGAATCGATGAGGTGCTTGGAGGGCACCAGCAGTAATACGGAGAAAACACTGGTGGACCCATCTTCATAGGAAACTGTGGCGGTAAGGTCAGTGAAGTTAGTCCCAAGTCCGCTGCTTCAGAAAAGAGTATTTGACCGATTCCATTACTGTCATCTGCTGCTTCTTCACCTTCTTCTGACTGGATGAAACCTTCTGCACTGGTGGTGACTTCAAAGATCGAGAAATGGTCTTCACTGCTTTGCTTTGATTCATCTCTGGAGGAGATACGTAGAGAAGAGTTTCTCAGTGTATTTTCTTCGAAGGAACTTGAGCTACAGCTGATGCTTCCTTGAGACTTAGCCAGGTGCGTCCCAGAGTGGCGTGCCCGAAGAGATATTGATGATGCAGAAGAGGAGGAAGCAGTTGTTTCAGAAGAACCAGAAGACGATGACGAATCAGGAGTTGGGACTGGACAACCTTTGATGTTAGGCACGACCGAACCCATGAGATACAAACGGAGATGAGAAGCAACAGAGCCAAGACGTGATTCTTCAATTCCTGTTAGTTCTGAGACTGATGGCTTCTTCTTGATCAACTCATCCATCTACAGAGAAGAATCATAAAGAAAATCAAAAACAGATAGTGAGGAAATTTAGATGCAAAGACTCAGTATTCGAAAAATAAGATCATCTCGGTCTCACAAACCTTCCTACGCAGTTCAATTCCTAGAAGTTTTGACTTCTCTGAGCACCAATAGTAAAAAGTGTTGCCATCTGCGATCCTTATAACAAATGATCTACCAGAGCTGTCTGCAGAGATCTCCTCAATTGACACCGCAGAGCACTGAGATTTGTTGGCATAAGTGAAAAGTTGCTCTGAGTGGCCATTGTCTCCGACAAATGAGAGTCGCAAATCTGATGTTGGCAGGATCATAAGGCTCAAGTTACCCCTGAACAATTATAAAGTAACACGTAATTAGTCGGTAAGTCTCTAATATCAAAAGCAACCCCGCTAGCATATAAATACTAGATGCTGAAAACCAGACACGAACAAGGGATCAAGTCCAGGAGGTTTTTTTTAATAATCACGAACATTTGCAAGTGGCCTCTTACTCAAATTAAATCTTTCAAACAACATAGAAAACACTATCGGAGCTTTATTCGTGAGCAGATATGTAATACCCAAGACTGTAACTCAGCCTAACTCAACTACATTATTCATAACACAGCAAAAGGACGTCAAGCACCAAAAGTTATCCTCCAACTCGCAACTTAAAAGAATATGTATCAAAAGAGGTCAAGGAAATGATTATCTATGCGCTTCCTTGGAACAAACTTTAGATAAATCCACTATCATACTACTGAACAATTAGACCATTTCAATAGATTGGCAACAAAAATAAAACACAGAGAATCTAAATCAACAAAAAGTTTTGAAACAAAATAATCGATGAACTGAATGCCATAGCGAAGAGATAATCTAAAGTGGTTAAGAAGAATATATGTCAGTGATGTTATGACAAACACTTAAGCCCTACTAGCAACCAAAAGCAGACTATACAACACTGGAGGCGAAACTACCTTTACTCCATCATCTACCAGAGATCATAAAAGATTACGCCCACATTACCTACAATAAAAGATACATTTTATTTGGAAACAACAAGAGTATCAATGTATCACCACACGACTGATTAAGTTCCTATGATCTCTAACGACCATTAATATAATCAAAGCACGTCAGGCATGAATAGAATTACTAAAAGTTAGAAATTACATTTGATACAAACAGAACTAACCAAATAGATAAAGATGGAGTGTGTTAATATTTGCCAATTCCCCCCATAGTGTTAGCACATGTTAAAACTGCAAAAAGGTAAGTCTGCAACATTTAATATGGAAAACAGGCACTGTACATGAAAAAGCGTGTTTAAAACCATTAGTGCAGACATGGAGAGACTCTGGGAGAGAGCAGTGTCAAACAAATCTTCAGAAGGAAGCTCTAAGAAGAAGAACATAACACTAACTCATGGATTGTATGTGTACACACAAAATATCAATCAGATGATTCCAAAATCGCAATTGGTTTTAGCGCAGGTGAACCTCAATGACTATGATTGCACAGAAACCATTAACTAACATTCTCTTCCTTTTTTTTTAATCATCCTAAAGCTCTAACATAAGACCCGTATTCAAAAGCTAAACGCTCAACAAGAAAGCTCTGGAATCTAGAGAGCCTATGAAGATAACAATTAACATATCACAAAGACTCATGAAAAACATGGTTGTTATACCTAATGGGAGTAGGACGCATTAAGGTCCCTTCCTTGTTAATCTTCCCAACGCGAACTGAAACCAACGGTATGCAAAAACACCTCGCCAGCATACCAATTTCCGCAGGTTCAAAGTGCTGTACAACAAATCAGATTCACGTCAAGCGAAATATCGAAGCTACAATCATCACACGAAACTACGAGATTAACCTGGCTAAGATGAGCGAGCAATCGATCTTCCGCCACTCCGTTAGATACGTCCAGCTTCAACAACGGCTTCAACCTCTCGTCACCTCGACACGCTCCCAAAACTTGCATATCCAACGCCTGTAACCACCTCAAAACCCTATCCTCCCCTACCAGAAAGCCTCGTCCGCCTTGTGCAGTCAACGGATCTGGAGAAACTCCAGTCTCACGCTCGGATCCAGAATCGACGGTGGACGACGACGAATCCGACGCATCGTCGTTTGGATGATCGTCTCCGGCGTCTCGCTTCCAAGAATCGGCCATATTCAAATCGTATTCGGATCGGTTAAACGTTATCTAGTTAGAATCAAACGAAGAATCCAGAAACTCTAATGGTTCAAATAATTAATCCACAGATTTCGAATGCAAAAGGTTTGTTATTAATTTTTTTTGTTCAAGAGAGAGACGATGAGTTTTGTTGAAGATGACGTTCTAGAGAGAGAGAGAGGAGGGAAGGATTGTGGATTCCCCTTCGCGTTAGCTGAAAGATGGAGAAAAAGATAAGAAACTATAACAGCGTTTTGTGTTTATAATAAGAACGCTTTGGCGGATGCGAAACGATTTTTATTAAATGAAGTTAAGTTGATTGTATTTGAGATCCGGGTTCGTTTGATTGAGCACACGAACACAAATTCAAGCCAGAAAAGCCCAATGGGTGGGTTGGTGGGTCCTACGCGATTAGGGAGTGGGTCCCTCGAAGTAACCGACTTCGACCAGGTGCCACGTCAGTTTGAGTAATGTATGATGCGCTTCGGTTAAATGGGCCCCAGCAAAGACAGAGATGGGCTTGTTTTCATTTTTTAATTTCAAAAAACTAAATAGTTTTTTTTCTTAATCGGCTTCTCTACCATGGGCAGATTATTAAAAATTGTAAGAAATGTGTGGATAACAAATGAATGGATTATAGAATCTGATTAAGAATATTGTTGATATGGACAAATCACAAATGTTATGTTATTGAGCTCTAGAGTTTTTTATTTGGTTATTCCAACCACAAACAAAACTTTCCCAGGGCACATACGAGCTGCCTAGAAAGCCTATAATCCAAGCCACTCAGAGTTGTTGGCATTTGACTTGGATCTTTGTGTGTAAAATATTAATAATACACTAAACGACAAAGGCATCTATGGTTGGTGTAGAATACGAAACACACACTTTGCAATATAAAAGAAAAGTAGCCATTGCCAACAACTTATGCCATGAACTTGAGATGTGAGCCATTGGCTTCACTGGAGATATCCTTTTATCTTTTTGTCCACAATCTCAGATTAATTCGAATTTTTTTGTTATAACAAAAAACATTGGAATATTCTTATCGGGAATATTAATGTCATCTTTAAAACAAATGTCACCATCGATTTTTAATCGTCTAAAACGTAACATTTTGGATTTTTAAAGAACATTATTTTCTCCTTAATATCATAATATCATCATTTCTTCTTCTTTGGTTCGTCTTCTTTTGCATAGTCCTTGATTAATGCTTCCACGTCTTTCCAGAATAAACCCTCAACAAGAACTCCCTCTTTCGTGAACCTGAGAAATACACACACCATATAAATTAGCTTGCGCAGATGAGATGCAGAGAGTGAGTGAGAGGAGAGAGACCACTGAGTGACACTTTTGGTGAGTTGGACAGACTTCCCAGCTGAGATTGATTTTGGATCAGCACTGTCGATGGTGAGAGTGTACTCATCAGAGAATCTCGGCAGCTTTGAAGATACAACCAAGCCAGTGCTGGTGAATGATCCCTGCGTATTCAACCAATTACGAATTTGAGCAAATGATTAGCTTAACAAAACATTCTCAAACTGTAGCAAAGCATAACGAGAGAATGGTTTCAGCAAAACAAAATGGATTAGCTCTTTCTATTGCATGTTCGAGACCTAATCAGTGAGTAGAGAATGAAGTCTTCGGAAAAAAAAAAAATCTTCTCCTCTCGGATACAAACTATATAAGAGAATTTTGTTCAAGCTGGTGAGAATGAGAGGAAAAACTGGGGGAGTAATATTGCCCAGAAGACTTTATCTAATCAAACAAAAACATTGAAATGTTGCTTTTCCCAAATCTCAAAATGCCTCAAAACAAGGTGTCCTAAGATATGCATGCACTACTAAACATGTCAGGCTAGACGAAACACATTTCTAGTTCCTTACAAAATAATCCAAGCAAACACAAACAATCAAAGATTGCTTTATAATATAAACAAACCTCAGGAGGATAGGTGAACAAAATGGCATTCTTCTCCTTAGTGTACAGAATCAGCTGCAACACTCCGTTCAACACTACATACTTGCCATAGTCAAAGAAACCAAACATCTTATTCACAATCATCCAAATACAACACAGATATCAAACAGCTTGCATATACACACAATGAATCTACTGCTAAAAGTACAATCAAATCAAGCCACATTACAGTTCTCTCTCTATCTAAGCAGTGAATCGACACTAAGAAAGGATATGATGCGATGCATCCAATCAAAAAGTCTCTGTTCTCCGGGAACTTCTTGTTGTAGAACTGTGCAACGAGAGCAACCACTATGATCACCGTCCCTAAGATCAGTTTCAGGTTGCTCAGCCTCACGTCCTCCTTGTATCCACGGCTCTTGACGATCTACACATCAACATAGAGGAAGATCGTAATCGAACGGTTTCAGAGAATATGGAGGGAAAGCAAAAGGCCTTACGTCAGAGACGGACTCGTCGAGGATGTGCTTGATTGAATTGTGATCCAACAGATTTGCTTTCTTAACGTTTTTGTTCGTTGATTCTTCCTTCTTCTCTTCCATGGTGAACAGCTTAGATCCAGACAAGATCTACGCGTTTCTGCGATAATTTTTGAGCAAAGACTGGAGAGGAGGATAGAGCTTGGAGACGTTTCAGTAGTCAAAAGACTCAAAACTGGTATAATACGATGTCGTTTCGTTGCTATCTATTGGGCTGTAATGGGCTTCAAAAGGATTACTCTATTTAATCCTTTTTTTGTCAACAAATTGAACCACATTTTCATCACGTACTTGCTACTTTTAAAGTCTCTAATTTAGAAACAAATTTTCAGCATTTTCTACAAGCTTGGATCCAATATATTGAGGATTGACTTCTAATTATTTTGTAAATAGTATTTACAGTTAGATTGAATCCAATATATTGAGGATTAACTTCTAACTAAAATTGAACGAGTGCGAATAAGCAAATATATTTTTAATTTTTAAATTAACATTCAGAATATAAAATAAGTTATATAAATATAGGTTTTATACTTTTTTAGTTTTTGTATATAAATACGTTGCAAAATTTTATATTTGGTAAAAAAATTATTGAAATTTTACTATTCATATATTAACCACTTATTTTATTTCTTTGTTTATTTAAAAATGTAACAGCATATTTAAAAGTTTATTTTATAAAAATTAACTTTTTATTTCTGATTACTAATTTTATTAGAATTTTCGTTGGAATTTTTATTACCTTTAACAATTGTGCACAAAAACTATTTTTATTTTGTTATACACAAAAATTTAATATTCAAAATTTTAAAATATTTGGTTTATATTATTCATTCCAAACTTTATTATCAAAATAGAGGGGGTCTTAAATAGGGTGGATTTATATGGATTGAGTTTTACCGTCTTAAAATACCTAGCCATATCAAAAAGAAACAAGTGACATCCAGAACATCCCGTATGTGATTGTTCCTATTAAATAAAGGGAAATAGGTCCCTATAACCATAAAAAAACATAAATGCACTAAATAGCTAAAATTACACTCTCTCTTCCCTTCTTTCTTCCTATCTCTCTCTACTCTCTCTCCTAAAAAACTAATTTTTTTTTCTAGCTATTTGGCAAATAAACCCTTAAATAAACCTCAAGAATGAAATGTCTTTTGTCGCTTTTCCTTATTTTATTAGGGGTTACGAGCCTTTGCGTGTGAAGCGCTCTATTAATGAAAGAGGTAAAAAACTATTTTTTGATAAAAAAAAACTATTTATATGGTTTGTACGGATCCAGGTATTTCATTATGACTCGAATTATGTGTGATGGTGATTTAGAACATGTGCATCAATGAACTAATGGGGGAGAAAGTTCACATAAATTTCCAAAAAAAAAACAAATTTATTTTTTTCATTAGCTTTTAAAGGAAAAAAAATAAGTAAATGATCAATCGCAAATTATCATTTTCCTCTTTCAAAGATGATCAAAAGAGTGCGTCTCCGTGATGGCATATCACGATCTTGTATCAAAAATTTTCTTTTTATTTTATTCTTTTTGAAGAATATTATATCCATTTACGGCAAATTGGATTTTCATCATCTTCCCCAATTTGTTGGTGCAATCTCCGACATGTATTTTGTCATGTTCGATGACANCAAAAGAGTGCGTCTCCGTGATGGCATATCACGATCTTGTATCAAAAATTTTCTTTTTATTTTATTCTTTTTGAAGAATATTATATCCATTTACGGCAAATTGGATTTTCATCATCTTCCCCAATTTGTTGGTGCAATCTCCGACATGTATTTTGTCATGTTCGATGACAACACAAAAAACACATTTGTGTTGAATCCAAATTCAAGCGGTAAGGAACTTATCCTAATCGCTTTGCTTTGGAAACAATCACCATGGAAACCACCATGGAAAAAGTGTATTGAAGACGGGGAGTTCCAAGATGATGGACAATTTCATAATCGTAGTCTGGAATTGTCCATGGTGATGCAACCACAGAGGTATTTAAAAATTTTGAAGATTATAATTCAAAATATTTATTGTTGGTTCTTCACTAGAAATGTAATTTCTTTGTTGTATGGCGATGTTCTTATAATCGTTGAAGATTGGCAGATTCTTTTACTATATTTTTCGAAAAAATCAATATATTGGATTTTTTCTCAAAGAATATCTATAGATCCTATTTGGAATCTGGTCAATGTTATACAACAAAGAAATCTACGAAGAAGAATTTGGTTTTTCATCAAAAAGATGAAAATCAAATGGAGATGGTGTTACATAAGAAGAAAGAAGATAGTTCAGAAGAAAAGTTCTTCAGATCTTGTTCTTTGTGCTTCAATGTTTTACAATTGTAGCTTTGCATTTAAATGTAATTCTGTAATTATACTCTTATTGTAATTTTACACTATATTTGAATAAATAGTTGTTAAAAAAAAAAAAATGATCAATCGCAAACTGTCATATGGCCAGAGAGCTCTGGCGAGCTGAGTTCATCATGGACACTTATTATGATTTTTCTTTTTTTGGGAATGTGAGAATTTTCTTTTGAACCCGCTCTTGTACCTTCAATGGACATGCTCTCAAGATAATATTGGTAAACTACACAATGAACAGAGGGAACATGTATCTGATCGTTCTGCTGTAAGCGTTGCCCTTCCTCCGTTCTGCATACGCAAGTTTTTTCCCATGATCAGAATATATATATATATATATATATATATATATATATATACCACAACGCCCTCAAACTCTTCCCTTTGTCGAATAACGACAAACGACACCGACACATACAATGTATGAATGTATGCTCCAGTAAAAACAGGCGTTGCCTTCTTCCTTGGCAAAGTGTCTGTGATTCAACATGAAACGAGTGGATGAGAAAAAATTAATATAGAACATGACCACTTTTAGTTTTAACACAAGCACAGATCTCATATGTACAAACAGGAAAAAGACGAACGTCATATCCATAAATGGAGTACACAAGCCAATAACAGAAATCTTACTGAGCTGAGGATCTTACCCATCAAATATTCTTAAGGCATCTCCACATAGAGCGGACGCCTTTTACTAAATGAACTCTGACTTCTTTACCGTGCAAAATGTCCTTGTACATTCTCAAAAACTTCACCCTTTTCATTCCCCTGAATCTTTCATCTCTTGTTAATCTCTCTTCCATTTCTGATACTCCAAACGACATCCCAACCACATTATTAACACCCTGAAATAATATTTTAAGAGGAAGAAATCAGACACCCTGGTTTATACAAGGAAACGAACTTTACTTTTTAAAGACCTAATGTGAGAAGGAAAAAACTTACAGCTTGATCAATAAGTAGGTCGAAACTCTCGCTACTATCCATCAAGAAATTACGATATACACTCTGGCTAGTGAATGTTCTACGAACTGTCAACCTGCCCATTTTTTGCAGCACGGGATGCATACTTATGACTTTCTCTTCTGATATTTGTATAAGATACTTCTCACATAGAATCTCCAGACCACCTCCAACATCCAACTCACTGTCTTCCAGCAATTGCGTCACAATCTCATATGTTTCATTATTGAGAAAACAAGCAATATGAAGAAACAACAATTTATCATTCTCATTTAGATCATCGTAGTGCTGATTTAATGTTTTCACAGTTTCCTCGTCTAGAATCATGGGAATCGTTTTGGGTGTAGTACTTAATGCCAAAGAAATATCAACAGCCAGTTTTTCAAACATCTCTGCTCCGGAATCCTCCCTGAAAGAAATTAAGATCTATGAAGATAATACGTTAGAAAAGAAAAAGAGAGAGAGAGAGTCAAAGCACGTTCATTTACTTACCACTCCTGGGTATGATAACACTGATGATTTAGTAGTACAGTAAAAGCTTGTTTCAATTTTTTATGATTGTCCACTGTATACCTCTCTTTGAAAGTATTTCCAAGGTCTTGGATCTGCTTAGTGATGTGAGCAAATTCCACACCATAGACAACAAACATCATTATTTGACCAATCTGTTCGCCGCATTTTATGATCTCCATTAACTCATCCAAGCACCGGCCAGAAGACGCATAATTATTTGAAAGAAGGACTAAAGCTATTCTTGATTCTCGTATACCATTTACACGACGACTGGTCAGGTCCTCCTGGGCTGTCGTAATTTCACCTTCTTTGAATGTAGTGATTCCTTTGCCGTCGAGTTCCTTGTACAAGTGGTTCAGCCAAGTTTCATGAATATCGCTCCCAAGGAGGTTTACGAAAACATCGGTCTTCCAATCGCGAGAGGCAAACGCATCTAGTAGAGTGTGATTGTTATTGTCTGTTGTTGTCGTTGCCACTGCACATAAAGCTTCATTCCAAGGCACTCGTGCTAAGAAATCAGAGACTGAAAAGAACATCACCTCAAGATGTTTCAGTTTCGAAATATTGGGAGATATATATTTTAAGTTGCTGAAACCAAGCACGGATATGTATCTAAGCCCAGAAATATCTTCTATCCCGTCAGGAACTCTTCTAATCTTGGTTTCATCTAGAACGAGATGAGAGATATTCCTTGCAATCTGAGGGAAACTTCTTAACTTGGAGCATCCAATGAAATTGAGGGAATGGACAGACTCCAAGTCAGTGTTGGTTGGAAGATCCCACAGGTTTTTGCATCTTTTCATGTCTAGCTTTCTCAGCTTCTTGAGATAACGAATAGAGGAAGGAAGACTCCACAGACTCCAGCAATCTTCAAGATACAGTTCCTCGAGATTGGTGGCAGTTGAAAGATCTGGGAGTTCTTTCAGCTTTTTAGATCTCCGCAAATCCATCTTCTTGAGGTTATTAAGAAGCTGGGCACAACACACAAGTAGAACGCAACCAGAAGTTAAAGATATGTTTTCTCTCATACATACATTGTCTAATTTCAGAAATGAATTGCACAAGTCTCCATTGTTTTGTTGAGAACCAATTACTATACTTTAAAGAAACTTACCGCATCGTCGTCCCACAGTTTCTTAAGGTTGCTATCCGGCATTATGAATTCAACAAGATTTTCTGCACGAAAGTTAGAAGGCATGCGTTTGATTGAGCAACCCCACCATTCCAGTAATCTAAGTTGGTGCCACATATGGTCGTCGTCTCTCTCTAACTGCAATATGATTTCTTTATCCTCCCGTGAGACTCCGTAGATTCTTAGAAACCTAAGGTTTTTCATCCGGCTGAATGCTTGCTCCCTAATAGACAACGTATTCTTGATTTCAGATAACTTCAAAAATATGCCTAAAACACTTCCAGTTCCCTGAAAAAAATATATCAGAACCAAAATGTATTTAGTAATCTAAAGAACATGCTTAAAAGCGTGTATCAACAACTGAGGCAAAAATATATATTGAAAAAAAAAAAAAAAAACTTACGGTTTCATATACAAGTACATTACAGATCTCCTTAGAATCCATCAGGAATTCACGTTTTCCAGGAGCCTGAATACATGGTTGACGGACTATTTGTCTACCCATTTCTTGCAAGAAATCGTGCATCCTAATGATATTATCCTCTGATATTTGTATGAGACACCGTTCAGCTAGAGTAACGAGTCCAGCATCAACATTCAACTTGGTATCTTCAAGCAGTCGCGTCATGTAATCACATGTTTTATGATTAAAAAGACAAGCGATGTGACGAAATATTGCTTTATCTTCTTCTTTTAACCTATCATAGCTGCCTCTTAATGCTTTATCAATCTGTTCAGCCATACAAATCCTGAACTCAGGCAGCCTATCTATCCACTCCTCCTTCTTCATACCTTTGAGGGACGTACCCAATACGTTGAGACCCAGTGGAATATTCCCGGTGAACTCTATAGCTTCAGTAGCAAGCTCCATAAAACCATCAGGTGGAGAGTCTTGACCGAACGCACATCGGCAGAACATCTGGAAAGCTAGCTCTCCCGACGGTAAAGCCACCTCATAAACACGATCAGATCCAATTCCCCGGGACTTTAGAAACTGCCTATCTTCTGAGATTACAACAATTCTACTTCTAGGACCAAACCATGTAGTTTTCGCAACCAAGGCATTAAAGAGGACTTGATCATCCATATCATCAAAAACAACAAGAACTCTCTTATGCCTTAACCTTTCTTCCACCGCACCTGAATCACCTATCTTTATGTCCTTCTGGTCCAGAACCTCAGCCAGAAACTGTCTTTGCAAAAACAAATGCGTGTTGTAATCGTCTGACTTGGCCCCTGTAAAGTTCTTCTTAGTCTTATCAATGAAAATGCTGGGTAGGAACTGACATGAGAGTTGACGAAAGAGAGCTCGTCCGATGGTAGTCTTACCGACCCCAGATGGACCCCAAATCCCTACCATCATCACTTCCTCTGATTCCAAATCCATCAACGAAATCATGTTTTTGATGTGATCTTCAATTCCAACAAAGTCAGCAAAATCACTGGATTTTGTGGGATTCAGTTTATTCGAAATATTGTTGACGATTGTCTCAATCATCTCTGCTTCGTTAGGCCTAACAAAGAAAGAGCACAAACATTTAAAAGAAAAAAAAAGAAAAACTGAATACATAGAACATGTTTAATGGGTTCTTAACCTGGGCCTGTCTCTTAAGTTTTAACTATAAGAAAAGTGGCTCTCTTAGCCGAATATAAAAACCTGGTTAAAAGGGGAAGATCAAAATAAGGCAAAGTACCATTTCCGGGAATCCTCTCCGGCTATGGTTGCTGCTTCGGTCAACGCCCTCCGCCACTGAAGTTTTTCTTCTTCCGTTCTGCCTTGGCAAGTATTGTTGAACATCTCTCCGAAGCTGTGGGATTGTTTTTTGACATGAGAAGGATCCACATCGTAAAAAATGGGTATCACAATTAGGCCTCGTTCATTCCTGCATTTCATGATTTCCACCAACTCATCCAAGCACCAGCTTGAATCTGCAAAGTTTTTGGAAAACGCTACAACCGAGACCTTTGATCCTTGTATCGCCTTCTTAAGCTCAGACGTAATAGAACGTCCTCTTTCCATCTCATCATCCTTGAAGGTGATTAGCTTGCGGCTGAGCTCCCTCAGAAAGTGGGAACGGAATTTTTGGCGGACGTCTTCTCCTCTGAAGCTGAGGAAAACATGGTGTGGACAATTGATGATCGCTAGAGAAGAAGAAGAAGAAGAAGAAGAAGAAGAAGAAGAAGAAGAAGCCATGTGAAACGCAGAGAGAAGTAGGGGGAAAAAAAAAGGATTCTTAAGAAGCAATCTGTATACCACACAAATTGTGTAGGTATAATGTTCAAACACAACGAAAAATCTAAAGAGTTGCAAACACCAGTCAGTTTCGTGGTAAAGACACAAGGCCAAGGGAGTGGAATCATTCAAAATACTCAGGCAACTTTGAGGTAACGACAAGAGAGTTGACTGAATCAGCGATACGTTGAAATTGACTTAATACTAATCCTACTTACTTCCTCAGATTCCAAACATATCAGCTGAAAAGTCAGCTCTGGTAGAAAGTAAGATGATGGCACAATCAAAATGTCTAGTAAATATATCAAAACAACGTACCAGTTTTTTCCAATCTCAGTTTAATTAAAAAGAGATTCGATATATTTCTTGAAATGTGAAGAAAACTTTCTCAAGCAGACTGGATATTCGTATCGGAATATTCATTCCATCTCTACACAAACTAATTAAACCATACTGTGTTCATCATGTATTTGACTACTTTTAAAGTCTGCATCTTAAATGCTGAGGATTAAATTTTAATTATTTGGTAAGCCAAATAAAAAATTAAGATACAGAACCGGCCAAACCAATATTCTTGCAGGAAATACAATAATCAGGAACATGACATTCCAGCAGTGTGTGATAACTGTAACTAATGAAGAAATTATTGGAAATTTAATTCAGCCTCTTTCTTATTTCCAAAATCCTCAAGAAGGCTTGGATTTGACACTGCTAGAAGTGGCGTTTGAGAGCAAAAGCTTAGCACCCTTGACAAGCTCTTCCTTGATCATGAACAGCACCGCAGCAGCGAAAACGCTCTGAACAATCTTTGTGCTCATCCCTTTGTAAAACCCGTGCAGCCCCTCATATCTTATCATCTTCAGAATCGCATCCAACGTTCCTGTAATTCAACGATCCATGAATTAGGACAAAATGAGTTTTGCGGGCATTTAAAACAAGCGGGAAACAAACCCTTATAGTGTTGTCTTTTGTCTCCTGTAGTGACCTGTTTGGCTTGAAGTCGTGACTTTACAACCAAGAGAGGGTAAGTTGTGACTGTAGCTCCGAGTTTAGCTACAGCTCCAAGAAGAAATGTCTATGGGGGAAAGAAAACATGAAAAGTATGGCAACAAAGAGCAAGAGACCTCTTAATCTTTATCATAATGAAACAAATGCTAGAGTACAAACCTCCAAAGCCGTAACGTTGTTGCTACCCTTCAAGGCTCGTTTCTTCTTCAGCTTTGATAACATTGTCTCGTACAACATAAATTGCATTGCTGGATTACAAACCTGTGTATATTTAAAAAAAAAAAAAAAGAAGTCAGAAAATGCACTTACACGAACAATATTCTGAGGCCTGTTACGTTCAACATACCATGATCAGTGTCGGAATTACACCTTTCCAGAAGCCAGTCACTCCAGCTTCATCGTAAATTTCTCGAATCTGAAACATCGTTCAAATATGTATCACAGATTTGCTTGAGAGGTTTATAGAGTTTGAAATCATTTTCATACTGCAAACAGGTGAAGCCCTACTTCTTCGTGGTTTGTAAATATGTGAAACTGCGTCATACCGTATTAAAGGTTCCATAGGGACGAGGCTCAACAGGAACCAGAGCTTCTACATCAGCAGAAGGTGGCTCAGGGACCGTCTGTAGACCTTTTGGCATTTTTCTATGGGTCTGCATAAATATATAACACAATAAGAATAAGGTTGAGAAAATTAACAGAGAATAGGAGTGTGAGGACAAGAAAATCCACGAAGGAATAAAAATAAAGAGAAGATTGATATACCTGCATGCGTGTAACAATCACCCAAATAGGATTCGTCATAAGAACATTAACTGATCTGAGCGAGACAGCAGAGGCAATAGAAGAAGAAAAGGATTAGTATTATTGTTAAGTATGGAATGGTTAATCATATATGGCTGTCATACCACCAAATTTTACGATTAAAAAACGAGACAGTTATGACTATAGGAGCCTTCAATCATAGCCTATATACTCCAGACAGTCATTGCAATTTGTGAGAGAGAACTGAATGATGAAAGTGCTACTTAGGAAATTGTAACCATTCAAAAATTTAAATATTTAATGTATAGCACTGCTAACTATTAATAATCAAAACCTGAGCATATAAGAAAACCACATAAAGAGGATTGAATTGATGGTTTTTACCCGGCTAAGGCAGCAACTAGGAGTGAAGAAAACATGCCAACAGATCCATCACCAAACCCATTCTTCTTTTGTCGAAGAGCTGCAGCTTCAACTTGATTCCTAAAAACTTGGTAGAAGTAGTAGTACACACCCTGTCTCATCAGAAAAAAAAAAAGAGTTAACTAAGTAACTGAGAGAAGACATTTCACTTTCTTTCATCTCCTCTAAACTTCAAACCACAAAATGGCTAACAAAATACAGATTACGCAGAGAGAATGTAAGTAACCTGTGACGCTGCAGTTCCAACCACAGACGGCGCCAATCCACCATATAAACGCCCCCATCCTTCTTGTTTCACAACCTTTCAAATACAGAGCAATTTCAAGAAGCTGCTAAAAAATTGCAATAAGGCAAAGACTTGAGAGAGAGGAGAGAACCTGACCTGGCACATGAGTTGGAAAGTTCCAAGTTTCTTCTTCTTCTGCTCCCTCTTGAGATCCCTCTCCGTCTGTTGCCGCGTATTTACCTAATTCCCAACAACAAAGCTTTACCAATCCACAAGACGAACATTAACATCCAGAAGAAGAGACTAAATTGGGAGAGAATCGTTACAGTTTGGAGAGGGTAAGTGAGGAGTTGAGCAATGATCCCACCCCCAGCTCCCGCCAATCCATTTATCAATGCGTCCGACATGGTTTCTGATCCTCTGATTATTACCTCCCAATTCAATTTGAAGCCGTCACAAAAAAAAAGAAAAATTAACTTCCGAAAGACGGAGGATTAAAAGGAGCTTATGAGAATGTCAGTTGATGGAGAGGCGGAGCTTCTTCTCCATCCCCTAATGGTTTGCTTTTTTCTCCTCTTTCCTTCTTCTCTTTTGTTTCGTTTCAGATATTTCGAAGAAAACACGCGAGCTGACGTTGGAGAGTGTATGTATCAATGTTAATTGACTAATGTACCCTTAATACTTACGGAGCCTCTTGTCTTGGTTAACCGGATAAGCCCCACTTTCTTGAGTTGCGTGTTCGGTTCAAAATCTTCCTTTGCATTTGGCTAATATACGTATGACTACTATATGAGTTGACATGTTATTACCAAGTGCTTCTGTAATTTTTTTTTTTTTTGGATTTCAATTGAGGAAACCAAGTCATAACTTTGATGAAACAGTTGTTAAATTGCAGCATTGTGTGTTAACATCCTCTTTCTTGGTCATTCACATCATGTTGATGATACATTTTGCATCCTATTCAATTTCCCATGCTTTCAGACAGTCCAAGAGTGTTTGGTAAAACACTAGTGAAATGAGTAGAGAACTCGGGATAAAGTGTAAACATAGGAAGGAGACAAACGTGAGCTGTTTTCAGTGTTTGTTTGCATGGTTTAAAAATTAGATATTGAGATTTTCTGGAAAGGGGTTGAAGAAGAACGAGAGAGACAAAGACAACAAAAGAGTGTTTCTTGTATAGAAACACATGATATAAGAAGCATGATTAGTTAGGGTTTTGTAAGAGATTAAACCACAACAAAATTCCCTCCCCGAACAGTTGGCAATATAACAGAGGAGAACGAGAGCAGCAACAAGGCCTCTGGTATGTACTTTGGATTCTACAGAAACAAAAAGCACATTAGATTTGTCACTCACTCATTTGCAATAGAGAGATTGTACTCATGACCATTTTTCTAACGTTATCCGTGTACTCTACTACCGGCACATACTGCTGTCTCACTCGTTGTAGCAACATGAGGAGTCAAAGAGTCCTCAGCAAAGAGAGAGTAGAAAAACACTGAGATCTAAGAACCAAAACAAACAGAGAGAGGAAATGCTTAACAACAGGCGTTCTTTGACAAACACAGAAACTAACAGAAAATGATTTGTCTTTAGCTCATCAATGACAATGTCACAAATCAAAGCGAAAACTCCCAATGCCAAAGTGTAATATGTATAACATTTTTATGAAGTCAACTTACAGAATTTCATTACAATATTACATTGTTAAGTTCTCGAGACACAACATTTAAAA